CTAGAGTTCCACGATCTCATACCTTCGCCAAATGATGTTAGCCTTTATGAATAAGAAATATACTAATCACCCTGATTATGCAAATAGGATCCTCAATTGCATGAATTATATCAGTCTGTTGATCATATTCTCCACCAAAAGACAGTCTTATCTTAACAAAGAATGCCATTTTCTCATAAATTATGCAAATGTGGTCCTTATTTGAATAAGTTATGTTTAATTATGTTCACCTTCACTTAACTTTCAAACACCCCAAGTATGAAATTCCAGGCAGTTACCACTATGCAATTATAACATTTTCTCATTAATTATGCAAATTAAGTCTTCATTTGCATAATCAATATTTGCCTGTGTTTCTTTCGTTCTTAATATTACATGTTACAAGCTTGAACTTCCTAGCATGGAATGCAGCTGATTTATAGAATTTCCTCATTAATTATGCAAATTACATCAATATTTGCATAATTGTAATATCATTATGTCAAGCATCACTTAAGCTACCTACATACCAAAAATCACGATGATCCATCAATCGGTTCTTGAGTTATCCTCTTTTAAACATTTGTCCTTTAAACCCCCCTGCAGTTCTAGAGCAAGCAACTAGGGGGCTCATACTCATGTCACTTCATCCCCAGCACAAGAGCTATCTACCATCTAAATTTCGTCACCCTAGCATGTCTGGATCATGAGATATCAAAACCGGATGTTCTGCTGCAGTACCATGACAAGCCGCCAGGTGGCCCAAAATCTAATCATTTTGAGGTCTCATCAAGACCTACCCACCTACCAAATATCAAGTCAGTCCATTTAAGCCTTCTCAAGTTATCGTGTTGACACACACACACACACACACATACACGAACGCCTCTGAAAACATAACCTTCTTGGCGAAGGTAAAAATAAGGCTGAAATAAAATGCCATCTACTTGTTACATGACAAGTGGGATACAAATGTCTTCTCCTTCAGTCCCACCCAATTAGACTGATTCACTTCATTCATCCATTCCAATGTGCCACAAGGCGTATTGATTGTGGTGAAGGATTTGGCACATAGTCAACACATGAGCAGACACATGTATGCCTTTGAATTTAAGTAGTATGGTGAAAAAAAACCCACAAAATATCTACATCAGGAATGAAACTTTTAGAAAGTACCTACCAAGCAATACCATTTTAATTTTGCAGGAAATCACTGGAGCAAATTGGTTGAAAAAAAAAAAACACATTCATGCTGTGATAGGCCATACTGACTTGATTTAGATATTGTAGACAGCCATGCATCCATTTTCACAGTTTTCCACCCAAAATAGGTAGCATCTAGCCTGGGGGCATCCTAGTTAGTTTACAAGGGCTCCTATACACATCATGTTTTGTTCATCAAAGTGTTGGCACCAAAATACAATCATTTTGGGATTAATACAAATAATGGAACAAATAGTCTAAATCTAATATCAATATTACATCTGATATCATCAAAGAAAGAAACAAATTGTGGCACAACGGTAACTAACTTATGGTACATACTGTGAAGTATAACTTTAAAACCTAATATCTAAACAATCTCACAAATGTTGTAAACTGAGTAATAGTGCTCAAGACGTCTACTTTAAAATGCTTATGTCCAAAGGCTACAATACAAAATACCACACCATACGGGTGGACAAGAATTATGATAGTGGAATGTTTTCAAGGGAAAATGCTCCTATTCCCCAGACTATATCCCTCACCTCTTCACTTGTTGCCCTGTCCTATGTTGGAGAGCCATCCAGTACTGAAGGCACCAATCCTGGAGTACAGAGACGAGGGGCTGGCAGCTCTGGGCAACCTTCCTGTCTCCTCAACATCCCTGCTGCCACTACTGCTGAGGGACGGCAGCACCTGGAGGGACAAATAATACATTGTAATTAGAACCAACAAGCATATTGTAAATCAGATGTTATGATTAAGCCAGTTACAAACTGGGACCTTGGAAAATTTATAGACTTTTTGTGAATTTCTTGTTTCATTCATTGCTGTGAATTTCCTGCCAATTCTGTCTATGCATTTTCCCACTGATTCCCATAATGCACGAATATAGCAGGGAATGAGATACTAGTAACCTCTTCTGGGACGATTCTGGAATCTAACTCCCTGATGGTGTCCCAATGTTCGTAGCCTGTGAATGGAAAGATAAGCAAACACACAAACATACACACACAAAATAAAACAAAGCACTCAGCATTTATACTGCTCTGTACCCCTTCCAGTCCAACAGATAAACATGATTACTGATCTAGGTAAGGTGCAGAGAAATAGACTTCATTGTTACCTGGACTTTGGGCACAGGTACATCTATGGTCTGTCTGGGCTTGCTGGAGTCTGTCCTGGTGTTGATGGGGAGCAGGCTGAACCGGGGGATGGGTGGGGGGAGGGGCAGGACATTGTGCTGTTCCTGCTGACCGGTACTGCCGGGGGGTCTGCCTGCTGCCAGGTGCCGGTCTGGGCTGGTGGTCACTCCCAACATCACCTGGACACAAGGGCGATTGTGGGCGGTAGTGAATTGTGAGCCCACAATTACACTGTATGAGCATTAGAATTGTTACAGTACGTTCTTAAATTTGCTACTGATGTGATGATTATGATAAATTGTTTATTCATAACGTCATTTTATTAATAACTGAAGATTGACAGTGATCACCATATTGAAGTCATCACCACAATACAGGTATGTAAACCCTACAGCGGAACCCATTCTGCCTTGGTGTACATTTGTGTTCTATTATGCTTTTTCAAAATATGAGGAGAATCATCCTGAAAGAGTATGCAAATGGTCATTTATGTCTGCATGTGACAGGTATGCCAAAAATTGTCCTGACAATGGCTTTCTTATCACTTATACATGTTTTCCCAAATCCAATCAACCTACCGAACATCTCTGGGTCAGCCTGTCTAGTGCTTTACTGAGGTGAGGTGTGAAGACGTCCAGGTCAAACGGGTCGATGTGGTTCTCTATCTTCTCCAACAGTCGCATGACTCTGTCTGCCTGGGCTCGGTAGGCCTGCAATGTGAAGTCACAGTGATAAGAACCACATTCTAACTTCAAACCATTCAGACGTCCATGCTTGTAATCAAAAGTACAGAATGGGATTGTCTAACTGTTGCGTATTGTAATGGTATAGTAGATACAGTAGACTAAATTTTTACTGCTTGTCATATCATTTAATTAAGGTGGAATGAAAGGTACCATCTATAATTATGGCTGTAAACATGGATGTGGCATTGTGTGATATTGTGGTTAGGGTAGTCTAGAGATCCTGGGTTCGAATACCTACAAGGCAAGCAGATCAAACTTATCCATGCGATCAGACTGGTGTTAAATGTATGCACTTTCACTGTCATGCAATAACAAACCAACATAACTATTAATACATACTATAGTTTTAAAGTGAACATCTGGTACCTGTGAGTCAGGTCCCCTGGCTGACAGCATGTTGGTGATGTATCTCAGGTCAAACACCAGCTGCAGTGCCCGGGCCTGTGGCAGGGTGGCGCTGTCCTGCAGCAGGGCTTCATAGGCACTCAGCACCCCAGCACAGGTCTGCTGCACCACATCATGGATTATACACCTGGGGCCATACAAAGGTATAACATTCAAACTTCTGTCCAAATAAATAATGCCTGTGAAAATGTTCCTTTCCTTGTTTTCAGCATCATAACCAGGACATTTAACCTGACTGACAATACTAACATTCTTAACAATTCAACCCTTCATAACATGCAAGACTGTTACAGTAGTACATGTGCCTACCTGCTGAGAGCATGTCCTCCAACTCTATTGACCTCCCTACAGAGTAAGAACAGCATGGACTGGACATACCATGATGCCTGCAACACAATATGAACAGCTCAGTACTTGCCTGCTACATTGCCACTTAAATTGTGACCAGTTTTGTACTGGCAATGACAATGGCCTGTGGTTAGATGTGCCTAAACACAAATTGAACAGTCCCCTTCATTATGTTTTAGTTGACATTTATTTTCCATTGGACAACATCAAGACCTATTGAAAGCTGCCTACAGCAGGGTCTGAGATGACTGATAGGCATGCTGACCTGTACAGGGAGTCTGATTTTGGACTGGACAGACTTGCCAGCCTCCGTCTCCTCCTGTATCTCTATCTCCTCCCAGTTCTGTCAAACACATGAATACAGCAAGTTTTATCAGCTTGGTAAATCAATCGATATTATTTCATTTTTTTTAAAATAGGCGCAGTGCCAAGTATTGCACTGTTATTGTGATGAAAACAGTCCATTAGGCTTAGGGATTTCCAAAACTTGGAAGTTTCCGGTGAGAACTTAAATGTGGACCAAGGATGCTACAAGATAAGACAACTTACAGTAGCAGACATGAGCAGGGCAGCAGGACTGGAGTCTCTCAGGGCTGAGGAGAACTGGTCAACCAACCAGCCTGAGGTGTGCTCGGCCCACAACCTGCAACAGATCATCAAAACTGTTGGGCAACCTTACATGATGTGAGCATAATCCTACATGTATGTTCAAAGACGGTTTATATTTTGTACTTTGGCAATGTTTTTCTACCATTCACATGTAAGAATATAAACAAAGATTACCTGTGTCCTATGTCTGCTGTTGAAAAAAGTTTGCTCCTCAGTTTCCCCCATGGAGAATTTTCGTCCAAAGGCGGCATCTACCAACAAACATGAAGAATTGGTTTACAATGGTATTGGCACTGTGCCTTCCCAATGAGTATGTGTCATTTTCTTTTAGTTTGTAATCAACTACCGGTTCAAATATTTTATTTTGGGGTGGGTGTCGATGTTCTCATTACTTTTCCTGAAAATAAATTTTCTATATGCAAGGTTGATGCTGATGTTGAAGAAATGAAGCAATGCAAAAACAGACACATTCCTTCAAATGCATCAATCAGCATACATAGCATGACACTTAACATAAATCAAGAATACAACAATACATACAGCGTTAGTTTAAACTTACAGTGCCTTGCATCTTTGACACTCCTCTCCAAGACCCTTGCTTGTGTAATACCCTGTGTTAAAAGAACATATGGCTGACAGTTACACTGAGGAAGAAATCTCTTGGTATGGAAAAGTTCAGATGATAAATGTGCTCTGGAGGCTGAAACTGACCTGGCTGAATCTTGTGTGGCATCTTTTGACTGTTTTCCCATCATGCAAAGCTGCAGGTTAGGGCAGATCTCCACCAGGCCTGAGCACAACCTGGCCAGGAACAAGGCTCTGAGAACAACAAATGAGATAATCTTGGTTGAAGAGCATTGAATGTTTTACTTTAAAATGTTCTACCTAAAGATGATCAGCAGAAATATATTTACTTTAAACTTATGACTAATACAAACTTGTGAGTGGGGATTACATAAGCCTTTGTCATGGATAGAAATTAATCTTACTGATTTTTCAAATGACTTAAGAGTAGTCCTCACTAGACATCTCAGAAGCTCTCAAAAACTTGACAAGCAAAATGATGTCATGTTTTCTTACTTGTCTATAGTTGAAGAACTGTTAGACATGCCCACTGCAGTCTTGTTTAGCAGCACTTCTCTTGCTGATTTCAGCTCTGTTGAAACACATTCCAGTAATCTGCAGAGGCATCAGGAACACCACATGTTAGTTTTTTTTCCAACAACAATCATTGCATCTTAGTTAGTGTTACAATAAGTCAACAATGTGCAGTGGTAATATACAGCCAACAGCCACTGACATCAGGAATCATGATACAACACTGACCTCATTCGTTGACAGACCTCAATGTTATCTATCAGTTTAGACCCTGATTATCCATTTCTGAAATCTGCAATACTTAGCTCTGCGCAAATTCAACATTTTTACCCCTAATGTTTGCCTTATTGTTCATACAAATTCTTTAAAATGTCACCTTTCACGTCTTTCAGTATACATGTACATGTATAGGCAGTTTGCAATTTCATCCTTTTGTCATCTTTCCAACATATAGGATGCTTAAAAAAATGCATCATCTTCTTGTCGTTGACCAAACAGATTTTGTACTTTACCTGGTAATGCAGCTTGTACATCCATTCTGCAGGTACTTCTCTAGATGTACATTGTCTGCAAACTTGTCAAAGGGAGGGTCAGCCGTGGAGCTGTCCCCTGCAGCACCGCGGTCCTGCTGACTCTGGGACACAGACGTGTACTGGGACACATCCTCCAACAGGCACTCCAGCTTACTGTCCAGCTTCTTACACAAGCTGGGAAACAATGGATTTAATGTGCAGACCATTATTAACAGGCAAGAATTTCTGCACAGTTTAGCACTGAAAATAATCTCCTGCATCATCTACCTTAACAGAGGTTTGAAACTTTCATTTGTTTTTCTGGCAGTTACATGTCAAGAACATGATGTACACTAATGCAAACCTTGTACCTTTACATGTGTAATCCTACACATAACCTGGATGCATTGATCAAGGTTAGATATCCAGGTACATGTAATAAGAAACACCAAAAAAAGTTACTCAAGCAACTGGATATGATTTTGGAAATGGTCAGATGTTTCAGGTAGCATCCAATGTATACACAGTCACTTAGGTGCACCAGTGCACACACAGTCATAGATTATATTTGGTGCAAAGCACCAATTTTGGATGCACACAAGTATTTGGAGCCCAATAATGGCTTACCTCTGTACTCTGGGTGTGAAGGCCTTTGCCTTCATGGCCAGACCGCCCATCTCCTCACCAGTCTTGTGGAACCAGGAGGACCTGGACGGCATGTCACTGGACATCTCAGTCCACACGTAACCAGCCACATCATGTTCAGACATCAGGGACCTGTCAGGGGTGCACACAAAACAACAAGGTGGTCAAACAACATGTTTTTTCTATAAGACAGTAAAATTTCCTTGTTTTGGAAAAATATCCAAATTACTTTCATTCACACATAACAGTAGCTACAGAATGACTAAAAGTTCTGGGAGATGGGGAGACAACAAAAGTGCACTTGAAAGTGCTTTTAGTAAACAGGGTATTACTGTAAGGTGAGTATAAAAAAATATGGCATGCTTAATAATACCTTTCTGAGCTGTTTTTTTGCCCCAGTTCCTGCAGAGTGTTTGTGACCAGCTGAAGAGACAGTTCAGCTGTACTATTGCACTGGCTTTCAATGATAACCTGGGAAAAGAAATCTTCATTACAACCTATACCTGCACCTCTGTTATCTCAAATACACAGCTACATTGTTAATTATTTTCTAAAATGCTGGCAAAAACTCTTTCATGTAGCCCAAAATGTCATTGAAAAAAAAAACTGTGACGGCACCTGAAAAGCATATTATTTCAATGAAAAAAATAAGTCGAGCACAAATTGTAACACAAATCAAGCAGAATCGATTTGAGAACATCCAAGGTAAAATTGAGAGAAAAAATTGGAGTGATACAAATCAAAATGTACAGTGTGTTAAGTTACCTTAGACCTGTTGAGAAGGATAGGCCTAAGAAACTCCTCCCAGACCAGAACCTCTCTACGGAGTATATGCTGACAGATCACACTCCATTCCATACCAGCACCATCCTACATGCACACACACAAATAAGTACGAAAATCAGGGCTCAAATTCATTTTTTGGAATAGGTGCACTGGTGCACCCAACCTAGTTATCTACATGCTAAATGTTATCCTTTTTCAAGGTAGACGGCAAAAGCCCAAAACTATGACACTTCTTCCCTAGCCAAACAATTATATCTTACAAAGAAAAGCATGGCCATAGCAAAGGATGACTTGCTCTAATAAGAACATTTGACAGCAAATAACCCCAGGTATTACTCTATATATGTATAATTTCCAAAGCTTCATTGCAGCATGTAACAGCAGAGCTTGAGACAACCCAGATCTACCCGTGCCAACATGTCCCAGACTGCATCTCTGATGGCGACCAGTCCCTTGATGGTGCTGATGTAGCCCAGTAACTCCCCAACTCCTCTGTGGATCGTCTCCACACATCTGTGAACAGCACAAACATTGTACACAAAGTCTGTTCTTCATAGCATACCAAGTGTAGGCTACAGGTACAATTAGAGTGATAATCCATTTCCTACATAATGGTAGACTACATATCTCATTGACAAATTCCTACAGATCTTACATTTCTGACATACAAAGAACATGACACAGGAAACAGCTATCTAGGTCCAACTGTCTTGAATTTTGAGTTAATGGCAGAATTGAGGTTATTTTTGATGACTTCATATTCTTCTCTTTTGAAGTCGTAAAAAGTTTTTGGCAATCTCAAAATTTAACAAAGCGCATTCTTCTCCTTTCCTGCAGGCACTGTATCTTTGCAAGAAGGAAGGCATGTGGAAATAAACACTTTGCTTTCTTCAATAATCAGAGACTTCATAAGATTCCCATATACTATAGCTTCCTCTACCACCTAGCCATTCCACCTTTATCTACCAGATGTTCAACATCTTAAGTCTAGTTTAACATGAAGGAGAATACTGACGTAGTGATCCACTTCTGACAGCTAGCCTGGAGGTGTTCCTGGGATACTGGGTTGGCCAGAGTCTTCAATGATGGACAGAACTCTGGTAGGAAAGAACAAGATCGTCATTGATGGACATTTAATGGTCACAGTCATTACATATGTACACTAGATATGTTCGTATCAGTTAGTACATTTTAGGTCGAGGTGTCTAGTACTGGCTT